GTACACTGCTGTTTCTATAGTTTAACCCTGAATCCTAAACCTAACCTAAACTCAAGTAACAACTTAGTCCTAAACCTAACCTAAACTCAAGTAACAACTTAGTCCTAAACCTAACCTAAACTCAAGTAACAACTTAGTCCTAAACCTAACCCCCAACCCAAAAATGGAGTTCCACCATGTTAGAACCAGTCTTTGGTCCCTATAAGGACTACTGGTCTTCACAAGGTAGATGTGTATAAACACAGTCTCAAAAAAGTAACAAATGCAAGCACACACACACATTTGTATTTTTCATCCTAACATGGTATTGACTTTCATTTATTTCTTTATCCTAACCCTGATCCTTACCCAAAACCTAACCCCTAAACCCCAAAAAATGGCTTTCCACCTTATTAGGACCAGTCTTTGGTCCCCATTAGGACTGCTGGTCCTGGCAATGTGTCTATAACAGAAAATGTCCCAAAAAAGGCAACAATTACCAATAAAACACATGTCATTGATCCACCCTTACATTTGAGTGATAACAATCGACCTTTTTACAGTTATTAAAGACAGGTGTAAAATCTGACACAGTGTGCTCAAAAAGGTTCATAGCTACTTCCAGTCAGTGTTCAGCTCTATTGTCTTTGCTCTTTTACACTTATTTTTTGATGACTTTTATATCCAAATGCATTTATAAATTAGTTTAATTGGTATTTTTATAATGTGATAGTGAGATGTATTCATAGCTGAAGTGTTTCAAAGAACAGGAAGTAGGCTGACACAGCATTAGCGTGTGTTAAAAAGGGCAAAATGGAGAGGTGAAGAATGGAGAGAATACCTGATTACTGCCCAGCCTGGAGGACCTGTTCAGTTTCCACAGCCTCAGCAGGGCAAACAACATACTGAAAGATCCACATCACCCTGGATATTGATCTGCTTTCTTATGGAAAACACTACAGGCCAATAAAATCAAACAAACTGAAAAACTGTTTTTAACCCAAGGTTCGATGGCCATGAGTAAATGACTCTCAATATAATCAAACATGGCAATATATTGGGATGACTGTAAACAATGTACATCTGTATTTACATTATGTTTTTCGTACTCTTATTTTGAAATGTGTAACACTACTTTAAGTGTAATAATCTTTTAATTTTTAAACAATTTTAACTATTAGATGTGTTACACCAGAAGATTGCTGCTCAGTTTTGTGTACAAGAGTGTGTATTAGAGGTGCAACAATACAGAAAATTTCTGATTTGTTTCARTTTGATACTTAGTGTCACGGTTGGATATTTTTTCGATACAAAAACGACAAATATCCATGGCCTTCTTAACTTGTAATTTATTGAAAATAATTATGAACGTTTGTTTACCCTGAAAAGGACAGTTTTTAAATTAAAGGTTGCTGAAACAGCAAGTTTCTCAGGGGATCTGCGCGCAACAATGCAGCCTAGGTGCAGCAGTTAAACGTAGATCCTCTGAGCCTTCAGCACAGTATGTATGTATGTATGTATGTATGTTAGGGCTGCCACGATTAGTCGATTAGTCTACGACTAATCGATTATTAAAATAATCGATGACTAATTTAATAATCGATTAATCGTTTTCTCTTTTTTTGTTGTTCTTTATTGTTTTTCTCTCCAAACGGCTTTGACACCTTCCACTGCCACATCTGCCTTTCTGTCCTTGACACGCATGCACAGTAGTGGTAACTGGGGTAGGCCGTGGACGTCACAAGACATTATACAGACAGGCTCTGGTATCATGGCTACCCAGCAAGGGAGCTCAAAAGTGTGGGATCATTT